TTTTAGAAATCCGTAAATGTTTCAAACAATGTAAACACTTAAAAGTCATCTTTAAAAAAAAAAACAGTAAATATACCATACAGGAAGTCAAAATTCAAAGTAATCCCCTTTAGAAACAGGCCCAAACAATGTTAAAATCTAAACTCCCATTGTGGAGATCTGGCATTACTCCCTTAGTCTGACATAAGAATGCATTGCTCTTCTATGATCCCATCAAGAAACCAAAACAAAAATAAATTCCAAGAGAATTAGGACATGTGATTAAATGTCTGCAGTTCAGGGAACTCCTAGGTAACCCTGCTACCAGTAGGTTTTTGGGTATCGCCATTTTGAATCATGCCACGTGGTTGGATTATGATGGTGGCAAGGTCACACAGGTTGCTGCCATTTTGAAAATGTCATTGTCCAAGATGGCAACCAAGCCATGTGACTGTCCCCATATGGATGATGTCATCAACCAAGGTGGAGACCAGGTCACGTTTGCCTCCCTCTTGGTGAGGTCAGCAGCCATGATGGTGACCAGACCACATGGCCATGTTAGTGAGCACAGTCCCAATGATGCAACAAGCCCATCTCTCACCAGGATACAAGCCCTGTGGGATTCACAGGCCTCATACATTAAATTTAGACAGCAACGATTTTTACTTTTACAAAGCACCCTAGTTAAGTTATACTTGATATAAAAGGAGAAAGGACCCTCAGATATATACATAGGCCCCGAATAGAAAAGCAAAGCAAAGGAATCCATGTCTCTCACCAACCATAGTAGCTGTAATGCCAAGCAAAGTTCTCTGGATCTCTTCATTCCTAGATACAAGCTACGCTGGGAAAGAAACAGGTGAAGGTGGCAGAAGGAACAGGGTGCTACGTCCAGCACATAAATCACTGGGTTGTTGATCTGAAAGCATATGTCTCAATCATGGCCCCTGATTTTTCATGTACATTGAAATTTAAAATGCTTAGATCTAGTTAGAAAAGCAGCCGCCTCAGGACCACATGGGCTGAGCACAGCTTTCTTGGTGCCCAACAGGACCTAAGATCAAAATTTTGAGCCCCTCTGCCTGAGAAAAGTTCAGGGAAAAAAAAAATGGCTTTTAAAATCTTTTTTCCATTTGTCCATGGGACGAGCCCCCTTAAATTCTTTAAATGCTCCACCAAAGCCACCCAGCCTTCAGCCTAAGTCCGAATGCCCCGAGGCAAGATAGCTCACCTACTAGTTTAAGAGCCAAATCCAGTGTGCACTTGAAAGTCTCTGTATGACCACCAAATAAATGTTATTAGAATTTTGGGGGTCCCTTCGTGGTTGTCAATATGAAACGGGGAGAAAGAGGGCCCCCTAGAGAGTTCTTAGTCTCATTCATAAAAGAATTTAAGAGTGGACCCAAACGGAAGCTTTTACAATTTTATTGGAATCTTAAAGACAAATCCTCAGGGCAGGCGAGCTGGTAATCTTGGAAGCTGCCTTGAGGAGGTGAATAGTGGGAAGAAGGAAAGAAAGCCATGGAAGCCGTGCAGGTTTAGAGCCTGCATGGAGGTCAGACACATGGCTGACTCACAGCCACATGGCTGGGAGAAGGAAGCTTTAGAGAAAAAGTGAAGAACGAAAGCATGTTTAGTAAGAAAGGCATGAAGAAGAAAAGGAGATATTACGCTTTCCTGAAGAGTTCAGGAAAACGGACAGACTTATGGAGACCTACATGGCTGTGGCTGGTCTAGAAGTTCTGCCAAGAATTCTAGAATTTTTTAAAAATTTTTTTATTTTATGTGTATGAGTGCATTGCCTGCATGTATGTGAGTGTACCAATGTCATGCCATGCCAGAGGTCAGAAGAGGGCTTCGGATTCCCCTGGAACTGGAATTAAGGATGGTTCGTAGCTGCCACGTGGGTGCTGGGAATCGAATCGTATGCAGGTCCTCTGCAAGAGAAATCAGTGCTCTTAACCGCTGAGCCATCTCCCCAGCACCGAGAATTCTAGTATTTTCACAAAATATGGGTAGAAAAAGGTGACACTAAAGAATGGTATCCCATGTTAATGCAACATGTTGTAATGAAAACTTTTAAGTGTAGAACCTTGAGACCCTCTTCATTCACCCGCTACCCCCCAATCCCTGCAGACCCTCACTAATTGCTCTTTTAGCTTCTGTAAAATGCTTGGCTGCTGCTTTAGACATGCCTAGACATACCCTGGCATGCCCTGACCCCCGCCTGCTATTCCCCACCCCCCTTCCAGGAAACTATAGATTAAGCAAGCCCGAGCATAAAAACTGCCCTATAAGGTAAAAACAGAGACTCCTGGCCCCACAGGTAACAGCACATTCCACAGCCCTGAGAATAGCACCTACCAATAAGAAACTTCCAGGGCTGCATCTTATACATCCAATAAGTTTAAAATTATGTTGGCAAGCGCGGGTTCCTTAAAGCAACCAAAATGTATCTTCAGTTTCCCCCCCTTTGTCTAAAACCTATAAAAGGCTCCACTCTCCCTTACTCTGGGCTCTCAGCACGGATCTGTTGAGTTGGTGAGGTCTGAGAGCCCGATCTTAAGCCCGAATAAACCATAAACCTTTGCTTTTGCATTTTGGTGTGTTGGGTCCTCGGTGGTCTTTTTGGGGTCCATTGGATGGGGTACAACATAAGTATGTGATTATTAAATAATTTAAAAAAAAGAATGGTATCCCAATACTCAACTTTAAAGAATTTATTTTCCCATTTGTAGAGTAACATTATTGTAAAATCCACAGTTAGCTGCAACACTTGCATTACTTTAAAAGAATTCCTAAGAATTTTGTTAGAGCATATTTTTAAAAAACAGAACGAAAATAATGTACATTTTAATTTCTAAACATTGTGTCATTAAAGTCCACATAATGTCTTCTGTATAAATCAATGTGATGTTACAACAATGCACATGATGTATTCTTATCCTAAAGGTTTCTGACCATGTATATCCAAGATAGATTCAATGCCTTTAATGTCAGACTGCAGAAACAGTTATGACCCTAAACAAAAGAAGGAAAAGCTGTATATACAAGGCAGTCTGACAATCTAGCTATTTGCAGCATCTGCTTGTCGAGGCCATCCGTCTTCCTCAACCCCAGAGTCATACTCCTCTTCAGACGACTCTTTCGATGGAGCCCTGTAAGGAAAACCATGTTTGTTTTTCAACAAAAATTATAGGTAAATATGATTTCTAGACTCAAAATAGTAAATTAATCTTCATAGCTAAATAAGTCACAAAGAAAATATAAGCATTTTCAATATTATGATTGTTTGATGTTAAAATATGGGAAACAAGTTACATGAGTTCCAAGTAAATTTCCCTCTATGTTCCCTAATTTACTGCTAAAATAAACTATAACTTATAAACCAAATCCAGCCCATCATCTGTTTTTGTAAATGAAGATTTACTGGAATATTGATATGCTCATTCATTTATGTTTTGTCTATGGCTGCTTCTGTGCAAAGGGCAGTTTGAGCAGTTGCAGTATAGACAGTACACCTAGGGCTGGAGAGATGGCTCAGCAGTTGAGAGCACTGGCTATTCTTGTAGAGGACCCAGGTTTGACTCCCAGCACCTACATGGCAGCTAACAACTATCTGTAACTCCAGTTCTAGGGTATCCAATGCCCTCTCTGTCCTCCGAGGGCTTTGCACGACATGGGTGCACTTACATACATGTATACAATACACACACATAAAATAAAAATAAAGCAAAAAAAAAATAGTGCCACTCTGAAGTATTTATCTAGCTCCTTATGAGAAAATTTGCTGATTCCTAGAATAGATAAAGCAATAGATGTGTCAAATGTGTCAACTATATATTACTAAGGACAAAAAACTGAAGACAAAAGCTGAAAATAGTTTTGGTTTTACAAAAGTCATTAAAAATAAGCAGGATGTGGTGGTACACACCAGTAATCCCAGCACTTAAGAGTCAGGAGAGAATAATTCAAGGTCATTCTCACCTACTTATGGGTGTCAAGGCTAGCAGCCTAGGCTACATAAGATCTTGCCTCAAAAAAAAAAAAAAAGGCAGAAAGTCATGGGAGTGGGGAGTCAGTTATCAATTAGAAAATTAGCAACAAAGTTCATTTGAGTACTTACGGGTTTTTTTGTTTGTTTTCTATTTTTTGAGACAGGGTCTCATGATGTAGCCCAAGATAGCCTCAAACTCATTATGAAGGTGAGGATGGCCTTGAACTTCTGAACCTCGTACCTCTACTTCCCAAAAGCTAGGATTACAGATGTTTCAACCACACACAGATGTTTGTCTCTTTTTATACAGTAGCTTATCAGATAAAAAGTAGAGGCTAATTTTGAAGCTCAGTTTTCAAAAAAATCACAGTATTACTTTTTATAAACCGTATTAGATATTTTTTCTACAGAAAACACTTGAGATTACTGCTTTCCTTATAATTAAGAGGTTATGCAAGTTTTCAAAAAGAGACCAACAAACTCTAGTAGTAAGGACTTTAACTTGTAGATCCATTCTGGCTTGAAATGTACTTTACCGAATGTATCCTGGCTCCTTTTTGCCTTCTACAACTTCTTTGTCAACCTCCACACACACAATATCAGAATTAGGAACTTCGAACATTGGTTCTAGTAACAACTTTTCCTAAAAAGAGGAAAAATAATAAATTACATGGAAAATGGATTACATAGAAAATAGCTTAATTTTGTAGACCAAGTGAATCCATTCATTCAAGAAATACTGAGGTTTGTTTTTGCCTTTTTGAGACAGGGTCTCCCTGTAGCTCCAGCTGGCCTGGATTTGCTATGGAGACCAGGCTGGCCTTGAACTCAGAGATCCACCTGCCTCTGCCTCCCAAGAGCTGAGATTAAAGGCATGCACCACCATGCCCAGCCGAAATACTGAGTTTTATACATTAGGAACTAAATGTTGAAGTCAATGTAAAAGCCTTCAGAGTATCTTTATGTTAAAACAGCTTTTAATTAAATTTAGGGCATCTTATAATGATAATCCTTCCTTTGAGGTCAATCCTACAAACACCTTCCATTTCAAACTATGATTCAAATGAACATTTGCCTCATGTGCTATATAGTAGACCTTGTTATTTACTTTAGAAAATGAGCTTTCCCTACAGGTAGGGGCCAAAGAGAAATACTGTGTACATCAAATTTCCTAAAAAATGTCAACTGCATTACCTGTTCTTCTAGTCTGCATGCTTATTATAAAGTCTGTCCTTAGAAACACCTTACCACGGGAACTCAAAGTACAATTTTTTTTTTTTTTTTTTTTTTTGTCTTTTTGAGACAGGGTCTCCTTGTAGCCTCAGCTGGCCTGGAACTTACTATGTAGGCCAGGCTGGCCCTGAACTCACAAAGATCCACCTGCCTTTGCCTCCCAGTGCTGGGATTAAGGCATGCACCTGGCCAGAGAGTACAATCTTAAAACTGTTAGTGGTAAATGCATAGCTCCAACTGAAGTCATAATGAGATGAAGATGGGATAGTAGGGAAATCCTAAGAGGGAAGAGAATTTTGTACTTGCTTTGGGAACAGACAAATAGTAATCTATGCCAGACCAGGGGAACAGAAGAGAGAAATGTAAGGAAGGGAGTGGGGTGGTGGCAGGAAAAGTCTGTCTCCTAGGGTCCCTAATGAAAAGCTTATACCATACTGAAGCAGGAGAGCTAAAATGTCATGGTATCTGCAGTTTACTTTCAAGCAAATAAAAATGGAGGATCTCTGTGAGTTCAAGGCCAGCCTGGTCTACATAGTGAGTTCTAGGCCAGTTGGGGCTACAGGGAGACCCTGTCTCAAAAAGGCCAAAAAAAAAAAATTGGTTGGTGCAGCAACCTACCTGTAATCTTGCCTAGTACTCAAGAAGTGGACACAGGGGCTGCCCAAGACAAGCTAGCTACTAAACTAACCAAACTGGCAAGCTCTAGATTCAGCAAGAGACCTTGTCTCGGTAAAGCAAGTGAAGAGTGAAAAAGATACTCAATGCCAATCTCTGCCCGCCCCCACGCACACATGGATGCAAAAGAAAAAAACAATAAAAACAGAAAAACCATTTAGACCAATCAATTGTTTTAATTGTTGCTGTTGTTGATTTTTATAACTTCAACTTACCATTATGGAGCGAAGGCCTCTTGCACCTGTTTTTCGTTCTAGTGCCAATCTAGCTATGGCTTTCAAAGCATCATCAGTAACATTCAGTTCACACTACAAACAGATCAAAATAAATGAAAAGTTAAGATGGTCCTTATGATATTTTCCAAACATAATCATATAGCATATGATCAACTAACTGTAACCACCATTCAGAATCTTCCTGATGACAGAATTTTATGAATGAAACCAATGCCTACTTCACAGATAAATAAGTTCCAGAAGGCTGAATAAACCAAGTGAGAGTTAGAAACAAAGCAAAGAGATAGAGGCAAGGTTGGCAAGATTTTAGAACATCATCCTCAAGCAGCACTACTTTTTAACCATTAACCTATGATACTACTAATAACCTACTAACTATGATAGTATCACTAGAAGAATCACAATTTTGTGCCTTGGGCTGGGTATGTATATAGTTCGGTGGTAAAGTGCTTGCCTCAAATGTGTAAGGTCCTGAAGTTTTCCATATTAATATGGACTTTCTAGGACTTGTTTCAACATTTATTATGATCCTACATATTTATAGTTCAGTGTATACATAGGGTGCCAAGGGACTACCAAAGTGGGAGCACCTATACATCTAGGGGGACCACTGGTATATTTTTAAGCAGGTGGGTAAAACAATCAGCCTTGTGTTTAATCATTCAATAAATACAAAGAACTTAGTATTTATCTGCTGGGTACTTACTCAATGATTTAAAAGCAATTCATTCTAGGGGGCTGCAGGGATGATGGCTCAGTGGGTAAAGGAGCTTGAATCTGAGTTTGATCCCCAGGACCCACACGGTAGAAGGAGAGAACTGAGTGCCCCCATGTTGTCTGTCCTCCTGTTTCCACATAGCCGGGTATGGTGGTATACACCTTTAAATCCCCACACTTAGGAGGCAGAGGTGGGCAGATTTCTGTGAGACTGAGGCCATCCTGGTCTCCATAGCGAGTTGCAAGTCAGCTGTGGTTACAAGGAGACCTGTCTCAAAAAGACCAAAAAAAGCTGGGCATGGTGGCGCACGCCTTTAATTCCAGCACTTGGGAGGCAGAGGCAGGTATATCTCAGTGAGTTTAAGGCCAGCCTGGTCTACATAGTGAGTTCCAGGACAGCTGGGGCTACAGGGAGTACCTGTCTCAAAGAGACCCCCCCCAAAAAAATAAATAAAATAAAATAAAATAAATAAATAAATAAATAAATAAATAAATAAATAAAATGGTGTTTTGCCTGCATGTATGTAAATACAGCACATATGTGCAGTGCCCACAGAGGCCTGAAAAGGGCATCAGATCCCCTGGAACTGGACTTATGGATGGCTGTTAGACACCATGTAGATAATGGATCCTCTGGAAGGGCAGCCAGTGTTCTTAACCAGAGTCATATTTCCAGCCCCAGAATATAATTTATTTGTGGTGGTGTCGTCCTGAGACTAACTTGAGACAGGGAGACCAATTAGGAACCAAATGCATGGGTTGAATGAAAGCAATGTTTGACTTAATGCAGTGGCAATTTTCTATCTGACTGGATGTGTAAGCTAGAGTGACCTCTATTCTTTTATTAGAGAGACAGAGATATGAGGACAAATTTCACCTAGACAGAAGCACATAAAAATATATACAGTATGTTAACAACAAAAGCACTTAGAATACCAAAGCTGAAAGGATAATTCTATGTATTTGGCTTGGAAAGGCTGACATTTCTCAAAATATCACTGTACTTTCTGTTCCAGTGGTCATTTTGTTGTTTTGTCTTTTTGAGTCAGTCTCCCCGTTAGCCCCAGATGGCTTGGAATTTGCTATATAGACCAGGCTAGACTATTTCACAGAGATCCACCTGCCTCTGCTTCCTGAGTGCTGAGATTAAAGGCATGTACCACCATCCCCAACCAAATGGTCATTTTAATTCAGAAAAAATAAAACCAACTATCAAATGTTGAATGTAATACATTGTTGCCTTTCTAAACCTACATTCAGTAAAGAACAAGCTGGTATTCCAGATGAGTAGGATACTCTTTAAATCTGAGCTAACTTAATAAAATTCTAATGGCAAGAAAATCATGAAGAAAAAATAAAAGCTAACCTTATCCATGCTGAATAAGGCCTGGTACTGAGGAATAACAGCATTGCGTGGCTCAGTTAGTATTTGTACAAGTGTCTTCTCATCAAGGCTATGCAAAGGAACCACCACAGGCAACCGTCCCACAAACTCAGGAATCATGCCAAATTCAATGAGATCTCTGGCCTCCACATGACGTAGTAACCGATCTTTTTCTTCAATATCTTGCTGAGTATTAGATTCTCCACTTCGATTAGCAAGGTCTGCAGCAGCTGCAGCTCTTCTGCCCTTTCCTAGATTAGATGGTGTTCCAAATCCAAGATACTGCCAAAGAAATGATGCAGATTATAGATAGACTGAAGCTGAACTATATTACTCTACATGCATAATTCACATATAAAACATGGTGACAGAGACTAAGTATTTTGACCTAGGTCTTGCTGATGTTAAGTGGCAAAACCAAGATTTAAATTCAAGTCTCAGATTTCCCCTATTTTTGTTAAGAAGTTCACAGCTAAATGGAATAACCTAATTCCCAATAGGGTAAAAATATGTTCCAGATCCTCCTCCTACATGTCTGCGATTTTTTTTTTGTGTGTGTGTGTGTGTGTGTGTGTGTCTTTTTGAGACAGGGTCTCCCTGTAGCCTCAGCTGGCCTGGAACTCACAGAGATCTACCTGCCTCTTGACTGTGCTGGGATTAAAGGCGTACATCACCATACCCAGCAATTCTTTTTTTCTTTTCTTTTTTTAAAAATATTCTATTTATTATTTTTATTTTATGTGTATAGGTGTATTACCTGCATGTAGGTAAGTATACGCATGTCATGCAATGCCTGAGGAGGACAGAAGAGGTTGTCAGATCCCTTGTACCTGGAATTACAGTTAACTCACATGTGGGTTCTGGGATTTGAACCCGGGTCTTCTGCAAGAATATTCAGTCTTCTTAACCACTGAACCATCTCTCCACCCCCAGCAATTCTTTTTTTTTTTTTTTTGTCTTTTTGAAGCAGGGTCTCCCTGTAGCCCCAGCTGTCTTGGAACTCACTATGTAGACCAGGCTGGCCTTGAACTCACAGAGATCCGCCTGCTTCTGCCTCCCAAGTACTGGGACTACAGGCATGCTCCACCATGCCCGGCCCTAATATTCACTTTTATAATTAGTGTTTCCTCAGACTTCTAAAAAGGATTTGAAATAGAAATATGTAGAACTAAAAGTAATGTTAAAAAGTAATGTTAAAAAAGAATTGCTAGCTGGTGGCGCATGCCTTTAATCCCAGCACTTGGGAACGTCAGCATCAAGAAAAATTAAATTTTAATTTATGTTTTTCTTCTGTTGAATCTGCATAAGCTAGCAGAAAAATAAAAATCTAACTATATCCATGCTGAATGAGGGCTGATTACATGGCTCAGTATTTGTGTTTTTCTCAAATGTAAGTTATGCAAAGGGAACTACTACTATTGAGTTGCTACTTAAACAAGCACCTTAAACTGAGAATTCAAGGCCAAGGAGACTCAAAACAAACTCTAACAAATAGCCAATCTATAATACACTCACTTAGGAATGTTGTGTAACATAAAAGTGATTTTGGCTATTAGATAAAACACAAAAACATGGAAAATACAAATGGGTTCTGGGTTTCTTGTCACTCTTTTTTTTTTTTTACTATAACCATCCAGTAATAGATGTGTACCCTAAAGAGCTGAGTATCAGGGTTGCCAGGTTTGGTAGCACATGCCTTTAATCCCAGCATAGAGATCCAGACCAGAATGGTCTACAAAGCCAGTTCCAGGCCAGCTGGGGCTACAGGGAGACCCCGTCTCAAAAAACTAAAATCGAAGCAAACAAAAAAACAATAAAAAAATCAGGGCTTATAAAAGTACTTAAAAAGATGGGCTGGAGAGATGGCTCAGTGGTTAAGAACACTGGCTTTTCTTGCAAAAGACTCGGGTTCAAATCCCAGCACCCACAGGGCAGCTAACAACTGTCCATAACTCCAGTTCCAGGGGATCCGATGGCCTCTTCTGTCCTCCACAGGCACTGCACGACACAGATGCACTTACCTACATGCAGGCTATACACACATACACATAAAAGAAAATAATAAATAAAATATATAAATATAAAAGTATTTAAAAGAAACATCTTTAAAACTAGATAAAATCACAATTCTTCCCCCCTACTCCCTTCTAATTTCTTCCCTCTATTTTCAAAAGCCAGCAATGATTTAGAACAAACTTTCAGGTAGAAACAATGAGACAAGCTCCCAATGCCACTGGTCTATTCACTCTGCCTGTAGCTAACCTCAAGAAGAAAACTCCTTAGATAAAGTATTAAAAAAAAAAAAAAAATCATACCCATTGAGTTATACTTTTTAAATGTACAGAGATATTTTTAATTATTTTATATATATGAGTGTTATGCCTGTGTGAATGTAGGTGCACCCATGTTGTTTAGTGCCTGCAGGAAAGAAGAGGGCGTTGGAACCCCTGGAACTGGAGTTACAGGCAGTTGTTAGCCACCATGTGGGTGCTGGGATTCAAACCCAGGGCTTCTACAAGTGCAGCCAGTGCTCTTAACTGCTGAGCCATCTCTCCAGCCCCCATACATAGATAATTTGAAATCCTCTTATTTACTATTCTAAAATTCAAACAACTAGGAATATGTATTGGATATGCTCTAAGAAAATCCAGTGACTGGTAACCAGTAGACGTGAACAGAAACTGAGTGTCCATCCTGTGTAACTTTAATGTTCTGAGGAACACCTTAGAAAAACTTACTTTTTCATTTTTCCTCCTGCTGATGATTCTGTCTAAGCCATTAAAAGCACCAGATGCAACAAACAGGATATTTGTTGTATCAACTTGAACTGTTTCTCCACGCAGCTTTCGAGAATTCTTTTCTGGAACATTGACTATCGTGCCTTCTAGTAGTTTTAATAAGCCCTGATAATGAATGAATTATAGCATCACTATATGTAAGTACATTATTATTTATAGATAACAGGATTCAATGGAGGAAAATAATATACGGTTATGGTCAATGAGCATAACTAACAAAAACTCCCACATTCCTACAACCAAAATGAAAATCAAGTACACTTTTCACTTTAGTACTCAGAAATTTACTTGAACTGGTTATAAAACTTCTGATGTACTAAAATTCAGAAAACAGTTATATAAAAAGCTGAGATTGATTGTGAAGTCCCTCTCTGCCCCCCCTCTGCCTCTCCTTTTATGAAGACAAGAGTCTCACTATGTAGCCCAGGTTGTTCTTAAACTAACAGTGATCCCCCTGCCTCAGTTTCTCAAGTGCTGGGTTACAGGTGAGAGCCACCACACCCAGCTTGATGGTAAACTCTTAGCTCTGATATAGACAGAATTATGACTTATCAAATAGTAACAAAACATGGTAGGAATATTCAAATATGAATGTAGTCCATCTTTCACATAAATTCAAATTCTCTACTCAACTTTTTAAGAGTACCTGTATTTTGAGATGCCTTCATAAAACAAAATTATCCAGCATATTTGGTAAGTGTGCTAATTCTCCCTGTGTTCAAAAAAAATTTTTTTTAAAGTTGGCCAACAGACCACTGTGACTTTATGATTCTACAAGGAGTAAAATGCTATTTTATACCTATCTTCTTATTTGCTGTTATTGTCATTTTGAGACAGGGTGTCATGGAACCTAAGCTGGCTTGAAACTCACTATGAAGACAAGGATGATTTTGAGCTTCTGATCCTCTTGCCTGTCTGCCTATATCATTCAGGTTTTGGAATTACAGGTGTGTATCACACCTGGCTTCCCTTCTCCTTTCCTTTCCCCTTTCTCTCTCCTGTCCTCTCTTTACTTTCCCTCTCTCTCCCTGTACTGGGGATCAAACCCAGGGCCTTAACTATATAAGGCAAGCACTCTACCACTGAGCTACATCCAGTTCTTATACTAATCTTATGACTAAATGGGAAGAATAAAAAACATGTATAGGTCATTTGAGTCTAGTTGGAACCAGAACTTTCTCAGCAGTCTACTAGAAATGTTTAAGTGGGTCTCTGAGGAATTAAAACAAAATGCAAAAAGCAAAGATTAGGGCTGGACAGGGTGGTGCACACCTCTTAATCACAGAACTTGGGAGGCAGAGGCAGGTGGATATTTCTGAGTTGGAGGCCAGCCCAGTCTACATAGAGAGTTCCAGGCCAGCTGGGGCTACAAGGAGACCCTGTCTCAAAAAGACCAAAAAAAACCAAAACAAAAAACAAAAAAACCAACCAAACAACAACAACAAAAAAACCCCCACAAAGATTAATTAACCTTATTTTTCTATTTCTTAAAATACTTTCAATTTCCTAAGAAATGAATTTTTATTTAAAATCATTAATAATCTCTTTTCAGGAGGTGTGGTGGTACACACCTATAATTCCAGCACTTGCAAAGATGAGGGATATATAGACCCTGTTTCAAAAACCCCACACAAAATAAATAGGTATATGAAGTTTAGGGTGGGAGAAACAAAAAAGAATCTAATTGAATGTGAAACCAAACGTACAGTATTTGGGAAGGTGATGTTCCCTTCCTTTTAGTGGGCTTGAACAAAATATTCAACTGCTTACTTGCTGAACGCCTTCTCCACCTACATCCCGTAACTGATGAATGCCTGGCACACTGCCAATCTTATCTACTTCATCCAGAAAGACAATTCCTATAATTTAAGGAGGATTCTATTTACAATATGAAAAAGATAGACACAGACAGTCTCAGCTTTGAAAGATTAGAGATAACTACAAAGCAAGTTTATTCAATTTTTCATAGTTAACATGCAAAGGCTTGATAAGAATAAGAACACTGCTAGCTCTCACCATCTTTTTATGAAACTATTATGGAATTTATTTTATAGCATATAATTTGAGAACAATAACCAAAAGCTCTTTGACAACAGTTTTCTCTTTTTATTATTTTTATTTTATGTATATAAGTGTATTGCCTGCATGTATGTAAGTGCACCCATGTCATGCAATGCCTGAGGAGGTCAGAAGAGGGTGCTGGACTCCCCTGGAACTGTAGTTAAGGATGATTGTTAGCCACCATGTGGGTACTGGGAATCAAACATGGGTCCTTCTACAAGAGTATTCAGCATTCTTAACCACTGACCATTGAGCCATCTCTCCAGCTAACAACATTTCTCTATACTACTAATGTACTCAACTTTTTTCTTACAGGAAGGTGAAATACATTATGCAGGCATAAAGTATTTGCTAGCACTAGCAAAACTTTACTCTTTCCCACCTGTATTTTTTGTTCCACTTAGTGTCTGTGTGTGTGTTGTGTGTCTGCATGCACATGTATGTGTGTACCATAGTACATGCGTGGAGATCAGAAGACAATTTGCAAGAGTCAGTTCTCTCTTTTCACTGTGTGGAACTTAGATCATCAGGCTTGGTGGCAAGTGCTTTTGACAGCTGAGCCATCTTGATGGCCCCACCACCTATATATCCTTGTTTTAAAAGAATCTGTCAATCCCTTTTGTAAGTACAGGTGACAGACAAAAGGGAAAGGCAGTATCTGAGATATCCTGCAAATAACAGGCTAAACTTTTTCTATACTCATCCATTCTGTTCTCTCTTGACCTTGCCTCTATCCCCAAACTTAACCAAATCCCAGCACTGAAAGTCTGGAGGGGAGTAAGCACAAGAAAACCAATGGTAACATCAAGGACCTAGCAGAATAGTAACAGCCTGTTTTCACGCTAGCAGCCATCTTCCTGATCACAAGACAAAGCAAAGATGTGGCCTTTGATTGGTATGAATGCCTCAAACTGTGTATTGGGTACTTTTCTACAATTACATGTTAGCACTGATTTGCCTCAAATTATGTATTGGGTACTTTTCTACAATTACATAATGTTAGCACTGACTCAAAATAAGAACTATACTATTCCTTAATATTAAGCTGCTTTCTTAATACATTAAATCTGAAGACACACAAGCTACACTTAGAACATACCTTGTTGTGCTTTTTCTACATTATAATTGGCATCTTGGAGCAGTTTGGCAATCACAGATTCAATATCTTCACCTACATATCCAGCCTGAGTCAAAGTCGTACAGTCACAGATAGCAAAAGGAACATCAAGGCATTTAGCTAAAGTTTGTGCCAGCAGGGTTTTACCTACAAACAGAAATAGTAACTAAGAATTTACTAAAAATATACTGTCACAATTTTTCTATAAAAATGAAAAAGCTTTAGTATATAAAAAATTGTTATACTTTTTCTAGTGTATTCAGAGCTAGTTGTATCTTATTTTATTATTCCTTTTGCAAAGTTAGGGAGTGATACAATTAATATGTAACTAATACATTAAAAAAAAAAAGCTAGGGATTAGCCCGCAGGGCAGCACCAATATCTCAAACTCAGGTTAAGATCTAAACAGTGAACACTGACAATGCATCCAGAAAACCAGTCTTAAGACTTTGTTTTGCTTTTTTTGGGCAGAGGCCTGCCTCTGCCTCCTGAGTACTGGGATTAAAGGCGGCATTACCATGCCTGGCCTTACAAGTCACCATTTTTTTTTTTTTTTTTTTTTTTTTGAGAAAAGGTCTCCCTGAAGCCCCAGCTGGCCTGGAACTCACTATGTAGACCAAGCTGGCCTTGAACTCACAGAGGTCTACCTGCCTCTGCCTCCTGAGTGCTAGGATTAAAGGCGTGGGCTGCCAGACCCAGCTTTAATTTTTTTTTTTTAATGTGTGTGTATTGCCTGCATGTAGGTAAGTGCACCCGTGTGGTGCAATGCCTGCAGAGGTCAGAAGAGGCTGTCGGATCCCCTGGGACTGGAGTTACCGACAGTTGTTAGCTGCCATGTGGGTGCTGGGATTCAAACCTGGGTCTTCTGCAAGAACAACCAGTGTTCTTAACTGCTCAGCCATCTCTCCAGCCCCCACAAGTCATGTTTTTAAAAAAATTGTAATGTCACTATTGTTACTTAACCAGCTATGAAAAAGTAAGTGAATTATTTCCTTTTTGCTTCAGTCGTTTCTATTATAAATCTCAAAGATTAAGCTAATATGAAGCTGAAGTGCCATTGAACCTTAGACAACTTTCCTTGCATTTCTTAAATAAAAGCTTTATTTTAAAAAATTTTATGTGTATGTGTGTATTGCCTACATGTATGTAAATGTATAATGTTATGCAATACCCATAGAGGTCAGAAGAGGGTGTCAGATCCCCTGGAATTGGAGTTATGTACAGTTGTTAGCCACCTTGTGGGTATTGGGAACCAAACCCAGATCCTCTACATGAGTACCCAGTGCTCTTAAGTGCTGAGTATGTCTCCAGCCCATTTTGTTTTTTAAATACTTTTAAAGACTTTTTTTTTTTTCCTGGTCTTTTTTTGAGACAGGGTTTCCCTGTAGCCCCAGCTGGCCTGGAACTCACTATGCAGACCAGGCTGGCCTTGAACTCACAGAGATCCCCCTGCCTCTGCACCACCACACCCAGCTTTAAAGATTATTAATCACATACACGTACACACACACACACACATACACACACACACACACACACACACACACAGTGTGCGAGTGCATGCAAGTGTGTGTATGTGCTTGTGTACTGGAGTCCATGGAGACCAGGTGATGGATCCTCTGGAGCTGGAATTAAAGGTGGTTATTAGCTGCCTGGCATAGGCGCTTGAAAACTGAACTCAGATCCTCTGGAAGAGAAATACATGCTCTCAACTGCTGAGCCATCTCTCCAGCCCCCTTGTTTTGTTTCTTTGGAGACAGGTTCTCACTATGTACTCCTGATTGGCCTCAAACTCCTGGCAATCTTCCTGCCTCAGTCTCCCAACTGCTAGGATTACATACAAGTGTGAGATCCAGAATCCACAATGACAAGGAATAGGTTACAGAATCATTCTCTATTTTTTAAGTAAGTAGTAAAGTTTCCCAGGAAGTTATTTACCTGACCCAGTTGGTCCAAGCAGCAAAATATTACTTTTTTCAAGTTTTATGTCATCATGAGAAGAATCCAATACTTCACCTCCTCGTTTTTCCTGAGGTATTTGCTGATTTACCTGTTGCTGCATTGATGCTCCTAAGGCATTGCCATGTGGGCTAATTCCAGCAATTTGAAGCAATTCTAGAAAAAAATGACAAAGGAATTACTAGAGCATTACTTGAATTTACTTGAAGAAATATTCCATAAAAACCTACATCTAAAAACAAGCACCTACTTGTAACAATTTAAAAATACCAACATTACTTTACCTAAAAAAGAAAATTGCAAATTAACTAAGGACAAATGTTAAATGCATGATTGCAATCCAAAGAGACTCAAAGGAAAGAAATATTTTTCTAATCTCCTTATTTACATAAATGTGTATGAATGTTCCCTCACAAGAAGATAATACAACAGACAACAGTGCTTTAGTTTTTGACCTTCCTTTGTTTCTAAAGAGTTATATGATCCTGAACAAGTCTTATGAACTTTTTGATTCTGTTTTCTTAGCTATAAAACAGTATTAATACCTGTCCTGTTAATTTCAAACATACAAATGGATGTTATAAGGATAAAACAAAATTGACTTAGGACTAGAGAGATGGCTCAGTGGTTAAGCACACTGGCTGCTCTTACAGAAGACCAAGGTTCAATTCCCAGCACCCACATGGTGGCCGAGAACTGTTCACAACTCCAGTTCCAGAGGATCTGGTGCCCTCTTCTGACTTCCCTCGGGCATTCCACGACACAGGTGCACTTACATACATGCAAGCAATTCATTCATACACATAAAAATAATGAAAATACAATTTTAAATAGTATACATCTTTAGTAATATACAAGGCAAATGCATGCCTATCATCACTACTACTAAGACATTTCATTGAAGCAAATCTCAAGAAGAATAAAGATTATAGAGGAGGACCTGAGGAGAGGTGACTTACTTGTAAATCTGTACTCATCCTCCCGTCTTCTTATTTCTAACTCTAAGAAAGGAGATGAAAAGGGCAATGTGAAATATTGCATATTTGTTTCATTTGAGGGAGAATAAAAAAGAAATCCTACTTCTTGCCTTCTTCTAAATATATTTAAAGGATATGTTCATTGTTTTCAGCTTTTCAAATTATTAAAGAATTTATATTCAACATCCTTTCTATGTCAAACAAACAAAATCAATCTTAATGGTGGCTATTCAGGTGCAAATCACTGAATAGAAAAAATTAACATCTGTAAGAATTTAATAACAATAAGAGTTAAAAGTTCTTCATACTACCCGGGCATGGTGGCACATGCCTTTAATCCCAGCACTTGGGAGGCAGAAGCAGGCAGATCTCTGTGAGTTCAAGGTCAGCCTGGTCTACATAGTGAGTTCCAGGACAGCTGGAGCTACAGGGAGACCGTCTCAAAAAGACCAACAAAAAAAAAAAAAAAAAAAAAAAAAAAAAAAGTTCTTCATACTAAAAATATGAAATCATTTGCTCTTCCAGCACCTACAATAATTTAAGTACTAATATAGTGAATGAAAAAAAAAAAGAAAAAAATTTGGTCTATGACTAGACAGAGCTATTTGGACCTTACAAAAATGAAGGTTCCAAATCAAGTCTACCACATAACTATTTTGCAGTAAGTTCAACAAGTGAATAAGTATCTTTATTGAAATCAATTACATATTTAGTAGCTACTAAAAAGCATTTAATAAAACTTCCTCATTAATGACTAAAAGAACTAAAATGGTGGATTATAAACCTACATCAGAAATCAGGGCTCTCTGGACAACAAAATAAAAATCTACATATTTACATTTTACTTGATTCATAGTTTCTAAATAAAATCATTCCATTAATATAATACATTTATTGCCCATAGTAAATTGAGATAACACAGCATTCTAGTATGTTAGAATCTAAGATTAATAGGAATTGCACTTAGAATCACTTACAAATTTTTCCCTTAACCCTGCACCCTGTAGCAGGGGCCCAAAGAAGAAAGAGTGCTGGATATGTTGTGTTAAGTTATCATCTCCACATATCTCTGACTTAGGCAACTGAAATTCTGTATCCTGAACCCAAAAGAGAAGAACTCAGAGTTGTACAGAGCACTGCAGTGATCTGTTCATGGGAAACTAGTTGTGGTGAAGTCAATAATTCAGACAACTCAACGTCTATTCTAGGGGGCCCTCCAAGTTTTTGTTTTTGTGGTACCAGGTCAAGGCCTTGTGAATGAATGGTAGGCAAGTGCTCTACAATCAAGCTATGTCCCCAGTTTTCCAAACATTTCTTTTAAGAAGATGTGGACAATTTTTTTGTGTCTTTTTGTAATGGTCTCCCTGTAGCCCCAGCTGGCCTGGAACTCACTACATAGACCAGGCTGGCCTTGAACTCACAGAGATCCACCTGCCTCTGCCTCCCCAGTGCTGGGACTAAAGAAGTATGCCACCACACTCGGCTTCCAAACATTTCTTAAAGAGACTCTCAATAAGAAACACATTTTACTTTGTGACTCCAAGTTTTAGGAAAAACACTTACCTTAACTAGAAGTTAACGTACTTTGGTATTTTTTATTCCCAGCTACTTAAAATAATATAAATGTGACTAGCAACTCATCAAAATAATTTCATGATCCACTAAGGGAAAATGAAAAATGCTGCACACTATAGTAAAAGGATTTTCGGATAAAAACAAAGAGTTATAAATAAAGATTAATAAGCATAGTAATCTATATTGTGGTCAATTATCAAAAACACTGACCTCTAGGTGTTAATGATGTCTGCTTCTCAACCTCTGCTTGCTGTCTCAGATTAGCTGGGATATTATTATATATTCTCTTATAATGATTATAGACGGCAACTGAAAGCACTTTCTTAGCAAACGACTGGCCAACAACATACTTGTCGAGGTAATTATAAATCTGGAAAATGATTAGGTATGAATAATTTACTATGAGCCATCTTAAAACCAAACACATTACAAAACTATACACTAAACATATTTGCTTATAGTTAATTTGAAAATATATTTGCATTAAAAATAAAATGTCCAACTATAGAGATGGCTCAGCAGGTAAAGGTGTTTGCAACCAAATCTGATGATATAAATCCCATCCTCAGAACCTGCATGGTAGAAGAAGAAAACCTGCAAGTTGTTCTCTGACCTCCACAAGTGCACTGTAGCCCCCACCAAATAATTTTTTTTTCCAACAGTCAAGGGCAGGATCCACTGTGTAAGGATGATTCAAAGATCTGAAACCCTAGATGAACAAAATCATAATTCATTTGTTCTCTACTAGTGCTGTGCTAGTTTTCATTCTACATAAATGCAACTGTTTTAATATTTCCCTGAAAAGAGGTAACACAGGGCATGGTGGCACATGACTTTAATCCCAGCACTTGGAGGCAGAGGCAGGCGATCTCTGTGAGTTCGAGGCCAGTGGGGCTACAGGGAAACACTGTCTCAAAAAAGACCAAAAAACAAAACAAAAGAACAACAAACAGGTAACAGTGTCTTGAAATGCCACCATGGCTCTAAAGGAATCTTAATGTAAATCATTAAAATACATCCTTTCTCTAACGATCTCAATCATATAGCTATAATAGTCTTCACAAAGATATATTATAAAACTACCCTGTTTCAGAAATAGGTAGTATACAACCACTGTACTACCAGTACCCATGTATTTTAATTCACAAACATTTAGCTTCTACTCTGGTATCAATCTTAAAAGTTACTCATTTGGGGGGAAAGATAGATGACTCAGCCTTTAAGAATTTGATTCCCAGCACCTGTTGCTCCAGCACCAAAGGCTCTGAAGCCCTCTTCTGGCCCCTGCAGACACCTGTACCTACACACACAGGTGTATATTGATACACATAAATAAAATTAAAGCACTTTTTTTAAAAAAAAAAGTTATCCATTCAGGGGCTGGTTCAGCAGTTAAGAGCACCGGCTGCTCTCACAGCAGATTGGGGTATGGTTCCCAGCACCCACATGGCAACTCACCACTGTCCCCAACTCCAGTACCAGGGGTAGTTAATGTCCTCTTCTGGCCTCCTCAGGCACTGCATGCACATGGTGCACTTACATACATGCAGGCAAAGCACTTGTACACATAAAATAAAAATAAAAATTTAAAGGTATGCATTTATCTGAATAGCAATTTTAATAGCCTTCTTTTTTGTTGTTTGGGGGCAGTGCTAGGGATCAACCAAGAGCCTTGAATTTTCTACTACTGAGTCGTATCCTCAACCCAGCTTTGTTAATAAAAACTAAAGCTGTTTTTTCGTTTTTTTGGATTTTTTTGGTCTTTTTGAGACAGGGTCTCCTTATAGCCCCAACTGTTCTGGAGCTCACTATATAGAACAGGCTGGCCTTGAACTCACAGCGATCCACCTGCCTCTGCTGGGATTAGTGTGCACGTCATCATGTCTAGTGTTACCTCCTTTCAAAAAAATTAAAACGGCATTTATACAGAATGAAAACTAGCACAGCACTAGTAGAGAACAAATGAATTATGATTTTGTTCATCTGGAGTTTCAGATCTTTGAATCATAGTTATACAGTGGATCCTGCCTTTGACTGTTAAAAAAAATTTGGTGGGGGCTACAGTATGCATGTGTCCGTTCCTCTGAGGGGTGGGGCCCGCTGCAGAGAATTGGCTGCCCGGAGAGTTAGCTACGGAGAGGGAGCTGCAGAGAGGGTAGCCTTGGAGAGGAGCATTGGCACGATCTGGACAGCGGTGGCACTTGAAAAAATGGCCCCGGTATCTCACCCCGTAGACACGAGAGGTGGCATTTACTGACCTGGGGCAAGACCCATGAGGCATGGGCGAAAGCTAATGGAGACTGTGGGTGGGGTGTGGAAGCAATCTGGAACAGCAGCCGGCTGAGCCACAGAGTGAAACAGGTGCCAGGTGTTCACCTTTTGTGGGGCTCCAGGTGTTTGCCTTTGTAAGTTACCTATTTCCCCTACCCAGGATATAAACTATGAAAAATTCAGATAAAGATGTGTTATATGGTTTGTCTAATAGTGCTAGGAGCAAGAGACCCTGAAGAGTGAGGGCAGGTCAAACAGAGAGTGGGAAGGAAAAAATTTAGTGGGACAGGCGGTTACCACCACACCTGGCTCTAAAGGTCTGTTTTATACTTGAATATTACTAAGTTTTCTTATTTTATATGTATGCGTGCTTGCCTATACATATCTATGTGGACCCTTTGAATGTCTGGTGCTCAGAGGCCAGAAGCGAGCTTCAGATCCGCTGGAACTAGAGCTACAGTTGGTTGTAAACTGCCATTGGGAACTGTACCCAGGTCCTCCGAAAGAGCAGCCAATGCTCTTAACCTGAGCCATCTCTCCAGCCCCAATTTCTTGAATTTTTAATGAAAAACAAACTGTAACGGTGGACATGGCCACACATGTCTGTAATCCTATCACTAGGGAGGCTGAGACAGGAGAATCTTGAGTCCAAAGCCAGCCTGAGCTATACAGTAAGACCCTATCTCTAAAACCACTACCTACCCCCACAAAAAATGACCTGTTCATTTTGACCAAATCCTGAAAAAAGTTGCCTCTGTATTTTCTAGAACTTTATTCAGATGTCTAAAGTCTATACAATTTAGTAAAGTTAAAAGCTTATTAGCACCCAGGTGTGGTGGCACATGCCTTTAATCCCAGCACTCAGGAAGCAGAGGCAGGCAAAACTCATCAAGGCCAACCTGGTCTAACGAGTCTACATAGTGAGTTCCTGACCAGCTGAGGCTGCAGGAAGACCCCATCTAAAAAAGATCAAAAAAGAAAAAAAAAGCTTATTGGCTATTTTTTCTATTACATTATTTTTACTTAACAATTTCTTTAGCTTTATTATAGTTTTATTTATTTATTTATTTATTTATTTATTTATTTATTTATTTATTTATTTATTTATTTATTTAAAAAAAAAATTATTTAGTGTGCAATCACATGGAGATCAGACAGGACAACTTGTGAGAGTCGGTTCTTTCCTTCCACCAGGTGGGCCCCAGAATCAAATAGGTTGTTGGGGTTGGTAGGAAGTGCCTCTACTCACTGAACCACCTCATTGGCCCTATTATAATTTTTTTTTTTTTTTTTGGTCTTTTTGAGACAGGGTCTCCCTGTAGCTCCAGCTGTCCTGGAACTCACTATGTAGACCAGGCTGGCCTTGAACTCACAGAGATCCGCCTGCCTCTGCCTCCCCAGCGCTGGAATTAAAGGCGTGCGCCACCATGCCCGGCTCCTATTATAATTTTTTAAATTTTACTCATGCCAGGTGTGGTAGCGCATGGCCTTTAATCCCAGCACTTGGGAGGCAGAGGCAGGAGGATCTCTGTGAGTTCAAGGTCAGCCTGGTCTACAGAGCGAGTTACAGGGAGACCCTGTCTCAAAAAGACAAAAAAAAATTTTTTTTTACTCATACCTTATAAATTATACCTGTGACTTACTACATCTGCCACAAGGCACATGAAAATACACACAAATATAGGTCCCTAAATATCTGTATAAGAAGAAATCTACAATGAGGCAGGGAGTAAGAAGTAATGTAAGTATGTAGGCATCTGAGAGCCAGAAGAGAGACTACAAGGCTTCAAGAAGCAAAGGCTTCTTCTGGGTTCTCAAAAATCACGCACCATGTATTCAAAGGAACTCAGTCGTAGTTCATAGGACTAATCACACTTTGCCTGAGACTTCTAAGGAGAGTTTATACCACCAAAGTCACAGTGGTTCATATTGGGCAGCCCTGTCATACTAGCTACGAAAAAAATTACTTGCTGACATTGTTAAACAGCTGTTGTACATTATTAAATAGACTGACTTAAAGGGGAATAACTGAAGATCCAAACTAACAAAGTACATTTGTTTGCTTATTTGTTTTTTTGAGTCTTCACTCTATAGCCCAAGATGACCTGGAATATGTAGCCCAAGCTGGCCTCAAACTTGAAGTATTGTCCTGCTTCAGTCTCCTGAGTGCTGGATTTATAGGTCTAAGCTACCAAACCCATCTTAGTAGCTAGACTATTATAACAGAACTATTTCATATTTCAAATCAGCTTGTTGTATTAACATTTTCATAATTATCTAATTATATTTCATTGATACTATACATAGTAATCATGACAAGAGAAAAAGCAGTGGATTTCAAACCTAAATTCCAAGTATTAAATATCAGTAAGGACTTACCTAGATATAATATATATTAAGAACCCATAGGACTGGAAAGACAGTTCAATGTGTAAAAATATTTGCTACACAAGCCTGAAAAAAAAAGAATTTATGGGGCTGGAGAGATAGCTCAGCGGTTAAGAGCACTGACTGCTCTTGCAGAACACCCTGGTTCAATTCCCAGCACCCACATGGCGGCTACAAACAGTCCTTAACTCCAGTTCAAGGGGAATCCGAAGCCCTCTTCTGACCTCCGAGGCATTGCATGACACGGGTGTACTCACATACATGCAGGCAATACACTCATACACATAAAATAAAAATAATAAATAAAAGCAGGGCATGATGGCACACACCTTTAATCCCAGCACTCGGGAGGCACAGACAGGCCAATCTCTGTGAGTTCAAGGCCAGCCTGGTCTACACAGTTCCAGGATAGCTAGGACTACAGGAAGACCCTGTCTCAAAAAGACCAAAAATAAATAAATAAAATAAATAAAATAAAAAAGAATTTATAAGGGCTGGAGATGGCTCAGTGGTTAAGAGCACTGGCTGCTCTTGCAGAAGGCCCAGATTCAGTTCCCAGCACCCATATGGCAGCTTATAACTATCTGTTAACTTCAGTTCAAATAGATTCGACAACCTTTTCTGTCCTTCACAGGCACTGTGTGCATGATACAGGTGCACTACACACATGCAGGGCAAACAGTTGTATACAACAAATAAAAACTCAAAAAAAAAAAAGAGTTGGGCATGGTGGCGTACGCCTTTAATCCCAGCACTCGGGAGACAGAGACAGGTGGATCCTCTGTGAGTTCGAGGCCAGCCTGGTCTACAGAGTGAGTTCCAGGCAGCTGGAACTACAGGGTGCCCCTGTCTCAAAAAAAAAAAAAAATTTATAGAACTAGGCATGGTAGCATATGCCTATAATCCTAGCACCTGGGAAATAAAAGGAGAATCAGAAGTTCAACATCAAGTTCAGCTACACAGGGAGTTGAAGGGCAGCCTGGGCTACATGAGGCCTAGTCTCAAAACAAACAAACAAACACATAGGGGCTGGAGAGATGGCTCAGCAGTTAAGAGCACTGACTGCTCATGCAGAGGTTCAATTCCCATCATCCACATGGTGGCTAACAACCATCTGTAATTCCAGTTCCAGGGGATCTGACACCTTCTTCAGACCTCTGTGCGCATCACAACAGAGGTACACTTACACACATGTAGGCAATACACTCATACACATTAAAAAATTAAATTAAGCCAGTCGTGGTGGTGCACACCTTTAATCCCAGCACTGGGGAGGCAGAGGCAGGTGGATCTCTGTGAGTTCAAGGCAAGCCTGGTCTACATAGTGAGTTCTAGGACAGCTGGGGCTACAGGGAGACCCTGTCTCAAAAAGATAAAAAAAAAAAAAAAAAAAAAAAAAAAAGAAAGAGAAGTAATGGAATATTTTCACGATATAATGTCCACAGACTGAGCCAAGACTATACCTTTTTGGGGGGTGGAGGTGGTTTCTGCTGGAATGCCAATTTCACAGCTTCTGCTGCTGATTCTGGTTCTTTAATTATGCTTTTCTTTGAGTCTGCTTCTGACAGTACAACAAAAAAGTGATGACATTTTTCACACTTGACAAATCGGGTGGAAGCTGAAAAAAAAAAAAGGCAAGGTCAAGAGAAGAAGATTCAAGAGACAATTTCAAGAGCTGTTTTCCTTAAAATCTCACTGTAGGACTGGGGTTTTGGCTCAGTGGTATAGTGCTTGCCTACCATGCTCAAGTTCCTGTATTCAATCCCTGGAAGGGATGGAGGCATGACATATTGACAAATAGTTTATATACTAACAATATTACAAAGATAAGTTCATTCAGGAAACTTTTTGTTCACTAGATATAGTAGTACATGCTTGTAATCTCCACATTTTGAAGGTTGAGACAGACGAATAAAAAAAAAAATTCAAGATCATCTATGGCTTGTATGAAAAAAAGAGAATCAAACCAAAACAATAAAAAACTGGGCCAAGGAGATGGCTGAGCAGGTTAAGGTGCTTGCTGCCAAGCCTGAGTTCAATTCCTGGGGACCCACATGGTAGAAAGAGAAAATCGAATCCTACAAATTGTCCTCTGACCTCTACACATGAACACACATAAAGTAAGTGTAATAGGCCAGGCGTGGTGGCACATGCCTTTAATCCCAGCACTTAGGAGGCAGAGACAGGCGGATCTCTGTGAGTTCAAGGCCAGCCTGGTCTACATAGTGAGTTCCAGGATAGCTTGGGGCTACAGGGAGATCCTGTCTCAAAAAGACCAAAAAATGTGTAATAATAATTTTGTTAGCTGGGCAGGGTGGCATAAGTCTTTAATCCCAGCACTTGGGAGGCAGAAGCAGGCAGATCTTTGTAAGTTTGAGACCAGCCTGGTCTACATAGCGAGTTCCACACCAGCTGGAGCTACAGGAACACCTTGTTTCAAAAAGACCAAAAAAACAAAAAAAAAACCAACAAAAAAAAACCCCCAAACCATTTTGTTAGGTTCCTTTCCTTTTGTGATATGCTTCATTCATTAAAAAGATCTGAAGATTCTTTTGACATTAGAGATAATTTTTACATCTTCTTTGAGAATATGGACTACTCATCTACTAAAATATTTTAATGATTATGAAAGTATTTTTTTAAATTTTATGTTATGAGTATATTGCCTGCATGTGTGTAAGTATACCCATGTCATGCAATTCCCAAAGAGGTCAGAAGAAGCCATCAGATGCCCTAGAATAGACAGTTGTTAGCCACCATGTGGGTGTTGGGAATTGAACCCAGATCCTCTGCAAGAGCAGTCAGTGCTCTTAACCACTGAACCATCTCTCCAGCCCCATAAAAGCTTAATTAGATTTTCTATATTTTACTATAAAACATTTCAAACATACTTAAAAGCTGAGATAAAACTATTTTAATTCCTGAAAGTGGGGAAGATACCTTCTTTAGATTATCTTGCACAACTGATCAGTTTTAAAACTTTTACTCATGGGGCTGGATCCCCCTCCTCTAGGGGGTCCAATGCCCTCTTCTGCCCTCTGAGGCACTGTACGATATGGGTACACCTACCTACGTGCAAGCAGTACACTCAGACATTAAATAAAATATATTAAAAAAACTTTTACATAGTAAATACATCAAACTTATTCCACATCATCTTTAAGTCTACAAATTCCTTTTTCTGCAATAAAAAAAAAAAAAAAATCCCTAAGAAAGAAAGTAACTCTTGTCAGTAATTTTAAAAACAACACAGGGGGTAGTTAAAAACATAAAAAGGGTTCCTCAGTTCTAAAGCATCAGCTATCCCAGCCCTACTAATGGAAGCCAGGGACCTCAAAAAGTAGCATGATAGAGCATCCTATATAAATACAGAAAACAAATATAAAGCTAGTTATTACACAATTGTAGGCTGTTTTGTGTGTAATCCAATTAGGCAGAACTATTAAGAAAATAAATTAATTTTTAAAAAAACTAAAGGAATCTCTCTTCTTTGGGAAAACTATAGTTATCTAGAGAAACTACCATCTAAATCTCCCCAAGATTTAGATTTAAGCTACATGAAAAAAGAAAAATTCATAATTCAATCAATTTAATTTTACATTTCTGTTCTTAAATTCAAGGCCAATTAAGAATATATTCCAGCCGGGTGTGGTGGTGCACGCCTGTAGTCCCAGCACTTGGGAGGCAGAAGCAGGAGGATCTCTCTGAGTTCAAGGGTAGCCTGGTCTACATTGTAAGTTCCAGGAGAGCTCAGGCTACAGGGAGACCCTGTCTCAAAAAGACCCCCCCCCCAAAAAAACATATATATTCCAGGCGGGTTTGGTAGGATCTCCCTATAGCCCTAGCTGGCTTGGAACTCACAATGTAGACCAGGCTGGCCTCAAACTCATAGAGATCTGCCTACCTCTGCCTCCCCAGTGCTGGGACTAAAGGCATGCACTGCCAAAACTGGCCCTTATTTTTTCTTTTTATATGTATGATGTATTGCTGGCGTGGAGGTAGGTGCACTCATGTTGTACAGTGCCTTTGGAGGTCAGAAGAGGGTGCCAGATCCCTTGGAACTGGAATTATGGACAGTTTGCTGCCATGTGGGTGCTGGGAATCAAACTCAGGTCCTCTACAAGAGCAGTCGGTGCTCTTAAATGCTGAGCCATCTCTCCAGCCTCCAAAATAAAATTTTTAGAAATTCTGAAAGTGGGCATGGTGGTACATGCCTTTAATCCCAGCACTTGGAAGGCAGAGGCAGGTGGATCTCTGTGAATAAAGGTACTCTTCTGCATTAGTGGGACAACACTGTTTCCAAAGGACATGGGTTATAAATGAAAGTCTCAGTGCCAGGTGTAGGATACCTTCCAATGAGTTACTGGTCATGGAGACCCCCAAAACAACACAGGCTATTGCCACTGCTCTTGGATGCCCACCAGAACTAGAAGGTAAGACCCTACTGCTGAAGACACAACACACTTTGGTTGCAGGACGTAAGAGAAATCAAGCTTGGAACTGACCTGAAAAGTTCTTCCCTGCTGGCTAGCTTTCACAGTGCTGGTAAGTGTTATTCAGGTTGCTGAGGAAGAAAAGCCATCAATGGCAAACTCTACATGCTACAATACTGACTTGCCAGATAAGTTGTACCCATTGGTATAACAGCTGCACAAAGGTTATGGGAGTAACCAAACCACTTTTGGGTTTGATTTGAGGTCTGCAGGAGGGAATTCATGCTTGATACTGTAAACCTAGTCAAAAACACATGACTTGGGAAGTCATAGACCATAGTGGAGAGCTTGCTACTATTGGGTATGTTGTCAAATTGCCTTCTAAATATTTATGGTTATGTACTTAAATTATTGCCAGAGAAGCGTCTCTGCAGTGGTCAGCAGTTAATGCAGAGAGAGACTTGTAACTGGCCAAAGTTCTAATAAGTGACTACTGAGTGGGTGGCCCTAAACGGGACATCTATACCAGTCACCCCCAACAAAAAAGGGCTCAAGAAACATCTTGGACAATGGGTGGGAAGAATTTAAGAGTTTGGAGGATGGGGAGGAATACTATGAAATGCTGTCTTCTGAACTTGAGAAGGTCACTGCATTCATGTGCTCACCGAAGTTAGTACCGGCATAAGATTAAACCATCAAGATTAGTGAACATTCCAACAGGCAGCAGTAACGGGAATCAGTGGATTACAAAAAAAAAAAAAAAAAGACAATGGGGATTCCTGGGGGAGGGTGTCAGAGAAGTGAGTTGGAGGTGGACATATTCAAGACACATTGTTTACATTATGAAACTGTCAAAGAATTAATAAAGGACATTCTGGGGCTGGAGAGATGGTTTAGTAGTTAAGAGGAAATAATGGAGGCCAGGCATGTTGGTGCATGCCTTTGATCCTAGCACTCAGGAGGCAGGGGAAGGGGGGGGTCTGGTCTAGATAGTGAATTCTAGGCCAGGTGGGGCTACATGGAAACCCTGTCATAACAACAAAGCGAATAGTGCTTTTGCAGAGGACCCTCGTTCAATTCCCAGGTGGCTCACAACTGCCTGTAACTCCAACTCCAGGAGAATCTGATGCCTCTGCCTATCTCTGGTATCTGTACTCATATGGGAATAAGCACTCATGTGTACACGTACACACTTAAAAATAAACGTAATCTTGGGGCTAGAGTGATGATTCAGGAGTAATGAAGGGCATGTACTGCTTCTGCACAGGACTCAGGTTCAGTTCCCTGGGAATCTGAGGATCTGTTCTGGCCTCCTTGGGCACCAGGTACACATGTGGTGCATATACATACATGCAGGCAAAACACACGTAGACATAAAATCATTTTTTAAATATATCCTAACAACAACAAAACCACTCATAAAAAAGAATAACTTCTGGATGAATTCCAGCAGCAAACTTTAAAATACAAGGGATTCATACATGTTTTATATTTACTGATCACCTATAAATGTTTACCTGAAGAAAAATCAAGCCATCAAACCTGCAAATTAACACAAGCTCATATACATAATCATCATTTCTCAATAAAGGCAAAACAGTAAGTGCCTTTATTTTATAATAGAGCACCAGTTTACAGCTGTATTGATGGTAAATAGGGCAAGGATTAAAAGGCAGAAAAGTCTCCAATCCAGTTCAGGCTGTCTGACAGGAAAATCTGGCTTGAAAACAGAAGATCAAAGTATTTCTCTAAGGAAATTAGGTCAAAGGGAAAGGGATTAAACACCAACACAGCTCATCTGTACTTACTACTAAAGGGTTGCTTAAATTTTACTTGAATACTAAATTTGTAATTCAAGTTTATAGTGAAGCACATTCAAGATATACCCAAGTTCAATGATTTAATTCTACTTATTAAAGTACTACTGGAAGAAGGGGGAAATAAATGAATTATAAGGCTTAATTTTTAACTCATAAAAACACCCTTTAAAGCTGTGTGTGGTAAGCACATACATACCTCTGGTCCCAGCACTGGGGAGGCAGAGGCAGGTGGATCTCTTGTGAGATGAAGGTCAGTCTGGTCTACATAGTGAGTTCCAGACCAGCTGGGGCTACAGGAATACCCTGCCTCAAACAACAAAACAACAAACCCACACATAAAGTGGGCCATACCAGTTCATGGGCTG